TTGGGCATGCAAAATGTAGGACTAATTCCTCTTATGTCCGCTATGGTCCATCCAATAGCTCTCTTGTACTTAGACAAAACCTGCAAAAGTAAAGATTCATGTTCATTAGACAAATACGAAGAAATGATAATTGGCAAAGTATCGTTTAAACCCAAATAAGCATATTTTAAATGAAAAGGTAGGGGTTTCTTCTCCAGTTTTGGAGGTTCAATGATGGAAGGTTGCAAGACATTCAAATCGGCTATTGTCGCCTACAAAAACTCAAAGCGCTAATATTGGGGCAAAATTGCGCCTAGTGCAATTTTGGCTTCTTTTTCTACAGCCTCCAAATCTACTTCCAAGTCTTCCACAATCATTTCCTGGAGTTCCTCCATGATTGCCCCATTGCAGAGCAGTCCTCGACCTCATCCGGGAGATGCATCGCATTAAGGACATTGAAGGTTACCTGCTTATCATTGACCTTCATAGTGATCTCTCCTTACCTCACATTGAATACTGTGCCTCCAGTTGCTAAATAAATGACCTTCCAAGAATGATCAGCACCTCAAGATCTGCTTCACAATCCAAAATTATGAAATCGGCGGAAAAATAAACTTATTGACTTTAACAAGTGCATCTTCTATTTTCCCTTCCGGATTCTTGATAGACCTATCAGCTAGTTGCAAAGTGACAGTAGTGGGACGAGCTTCTACTATATCTAACTCTTTAAAGACAGAAAGGGACGTAAGATTAATGCTTGCTCCTAAGTCACATAATGTGCTGCCTAAGTTCTTACCACCTATTGAGCAAGGGATAGTAAAACTACCTGGGTCCTTACATTTAACAGGCAATGGATTCCCTAGAACATCACTACTACAATTTGTTAAGGCTACCGTTTCATGCTCACCTAGTTTCTTACGCCTAGATATGATATCTTTTAAAAACTTGGTGTAGTTAGGCATTTGTCTAAAGCATCTATGCGAGGTATATTTATATGCAACTATTTTAGAATCTCAAAGAATTTCTTAAAATGATTATCTTGATTCTTTTTAACTAGCCTTTGGGGGAAAGGTGGAGGAATCTTAATATTACCTACCTGTGAGGTAGTGCTGGGCACTGCTTGCTTACCTTTTTCTTTTTCATTTGAACTTACTGGTTCTTCCTTCTCTTCTGGTGGTAGAGTGGATGTGGGAATAGGTGTAATTACATCGTCTCCTTCAGTTGGAAGTGAGAGTCCTTCATAACTCAGTCCGCTTCTTGTGATGACTGCCTTACATTGCTCTTTTCCTTCTCATTTAAGATTTTCCATATGTCTAGTAAATGTACCTTGAGGTCTAGAGTTTTGGTCATTCGTTATGTACTCCACTTGCATCTCCAAGTTTCTTATCGCAGCATCAGTTCTTGTCATGAACTTTTTTGTTGTCGCTTTACTTCTGGTCATGAATTCTTTCATCATGGTCTCCAAACTTGTGTTGCTACCACCTTGATGAGTAGTATTTTGAGCTCTTTGTTGATTGTATTGTTGTGGCGGCAACGCCGGTTGATTTGAAAAACCAGGAGGATTGTAATTTTGTTTGAATTGTTGAGCGAGTGCTTCCGCACCGCTATTAGCTCCTTCTTGGTTACTCCAAGAAAAGTTTGGATGGTGCCTTCATCCAAAATTGTAGGTGTTGAAATATGAATTGAAGTTCCTCTGGGCACCTTGACCTACATAGAAAATAGACGTTGGATTAGCTGGACAGTTCTCATACAAGTGTCTATTACCACAATAGACACAAGATATATTTGAAATTTGTAAAACATGAGAAGGTTCAAGCATCGCCGAAGTGGTGGTTTTGGTTTCCTTCTCCATTGTCAGCTGCTTATTTGGGCTTGCATTGAAGCTACTATGTCCAACTCAAAGATTTCGGCTGATACTTGCTTCTTTGGCAATGACCTTCCTATTTTGCCTTGGTCATTAATGTCTGTCATCTTGTTTAAGATATCAACGATCTCATTAACCGACTTTTCTAACAACGAGCCATTGGTTGCGGTGTTCAACATCATTCTCGATGAACGATCCAATCCTCTATAGAACTGTTCAATTTGCACACATGCGGGAAATCCATGGCTCGGGCATCTTCTTAGTAACTCTTTAAAACACTCCCAAGCTTCTTGTACTACTTAATTCTCCTTTTGTCGGGAAAAAACAATGTCTTGTCGAAGGTTTGTGTTCCTGGTCAAAGTGTGGTGCTTCACCAAAAATTTCTCCGTTAGTTTTGCTCACGTGTTGATAAAATTGGGTTCTAGCACGTTTAGCCAAGTTCTTGCACCATCCCTGAGAGAAAAAGGAAACATCTTTAATCTTAGTACATCCTCAGAGACACCAGGAAGTTGAAGTGCATTAGCTATTTCAATAAAAGATTTGAGATCGGAGTAAGGATCTTCGTTAGTCAGTCCTCCGAACTGACCCATCATCTGTAACATCTAAAACATGACTAGCTTAAGCTCGAACTGTGCAGCTTGGGGTAAAGGATTATTTATCCCTAAATTTAGGTTGTGTAACGCATGAGAGACATAATTCCACATGGCTATATCTCGGTTATCTGCTAGAAGGATCAGATTAGGCACTTCTCCTGCTCGGTTTGCTGCTCATTCACCTGTCATATCTCCGTTCACAGGTGGATTTTGTGGAGGTGGAGGATTTTGCGGATTCCTATTCATCTTAATGGACTCTTATTCAGTTTCTACTTATTCAACTTCTTTTTATTTTTGATTTTCTAGATTTTTTCTCAACTTCTGCTCACGCCTTATCCTCTTAAGGGTTCTTTCAATCTCTAGATCAAAGGTTAACCAACCAGACCCTTGCTCATACAAAACTCCCTTAATGGTTAGATATAACAATTAAGTCCAATGACAGAGGTATGCAATAATCACACATGAAACAATTCACTGAAAAGAATATGGTTTTGGAAAATAAGCCTCCGGTAATGGCGCCAAAAACTTGTTGGGACTTTCTATACCATCAAAAAGATTAGAGACACGTTCAAGCGCATACGATCACAAGTAATACTTGGTAGTAATCCAAGGTCAAATCCTGAAGGACTTGTTGCTTTCAAAACAATTTTAAAGAAGTGAATAGTTCAAATATGCAATTGTGGTTTATGAAGGAAATAGTGGTGAAATGATGTTGTTTGGAGTTTTAACTAGCAAGCAATTTAATAAAACTCAACCTCTTTGTTTCCTACCTTAGTCTTAATGCAAAACATGAAAAACACACTATGTTAGGGAAATTGCGCCAAGCGCAATTCCTGACTTTCCTTGGGATTTGAGTTCTACTCTTTCACTACCGCTTTTGGTTGCTGCAGAGGCTAGGGTAACCTACAATCATATGCCTATGTGTGATTGCAATCCTAGATAATATCTACCAACTAACTTGCATTATGGGTTAGAGGGCCTATGTCTACGACGATGTTTTATGCGCTTATGCCTAAGTCACATCTCATATTGGTTTCCTATTATTTTACCTAACTCACATTTCCCAAGGTTGGGCTTTGGATTATAAATCATGTTCCCGCCAGCCGAATGGAAAAAAGATGTAAATAGAAGTTTTTAGAAACCAACCCAAAAAAGTTTCAGGCGAAATTTGGCCGAAATCTCGAGCGTGTTGAAAATCAAATCATTTTTACTAAGGCATTCCACAAAGGGGTTGATAACTAATTTAGAACATAATTAAAGAAACGTACATGCACGAAAACATAAAGAAAGCATTTTTCATTGAATTTCAATGAATAAATAAGTCATACAATGAGTTCTTGCTGGACCCTCTTCTCTCTCGAGCATGAGAGGAGTTGAAACTCGCTAAAGAACCTTAAAAGAACATAATGAACAAAGAACACAAGTAAGAACTTGAATTAAAACAATACAAAAGGTAAATGCATGAAAAAACAATGAAATAAACAACTAGAATATGAACATAAACCCTAATAACATCTTCTACAACTAGAGAGCAATTAAAAGAAGATGAAATGAAGCTTGGAAAGGATGAAATGCTCACTTTTGCCAAAAAGAAAAGGAAAAGAATTTGACTGAATAAAGATTTAGGTCCCACATGTTCATGTCGTTTGTGTATGCATGTCGGACCTGTTAGCGGGGTTTCTTACTGGGTATTTTTAATACTCACTCTTATTCTAATTTTTTTTTAGGTAATGGCAAGAACATATGAGGCAAGTGACAGACCGTTTAATGAGTGTGCCATGGGGACCGTGTCAGAATAATTCTATTTCTGCATTCCATACTGAATTATGTTCAAGTGTTTTATTTTAAAATTTAGCGACAATGTTTTCCTTTTATTCACAATTTAATTACTATTGGTATTATTTTCTTTTCTCTTTTTAGAAATTGTTTCGTTTTGATTACTTTTTTTTTTTGGATCCCAAATAAAGGTTTCTGACTATTTAGTAAGTTATGAAATTTTTCCTACGACGTTCTTGTTCGTTACCATTTTGTTAAATTTAAAACGTTGACAGCATGCACGTAGTAACATCCTTAGTTAGTCTAAGTCCAAAAAGTCGGGTCGTTACAGTTGGTATCAGAGCCCAAGTTAATGATCCTGTAGACTTGCTTACATCGTAAGCATTAGTGTGTCACCATGGCCAAGCACGCAAACACCTTGTCACTGCCAGGTATGTCTCTGTTTTATCAAATTTTGTTTTATATAAAAAAAAGTGTATAGGCATAAACAGTGTACAATAATATGATGTATTGTTATGAACATGCACCATGTTTCATGTTTAATGGTGTGATGTTAAACTAAGTTGAACACTGTTGTGGTATTAGAATATGCCTCCACGTAGAAGAAGGTTTGTGAGACGGAGTGGGCTAAATAGAGATGCTGTCCCTGATACAGTAGAGTCAAAGGAGAATAACCAAACTTCAGACAGACGAAGAATCCACCAGTGGTTCCATCTCTCGGTCAGACGGAGAATCCACCAGTAGGTCAAATTTCTAGACAAGCAGAGCCTACAATAGCGTCTTTGATGATGGAGACTTTGCAGACACTTGTTCAAACAACTGTCTCTAATCAAATGACACAATTGACTCAGAATCGAGGGAGCATATCAATAGAAGCTAAATATCTACGAGATTTTAAGAAGTACGATCCTCGCTCTTTTGATGGACTATCTGTAGATCCAATGTTGGCAGAGGCTTGGTTGTCATTGATGGAGACCATCTTTCGTTATATGAGGTGTCTGGAGGAACAAAAAGTGCAGTGTGATGTCTTTATGCTAAAAGATGATGCCTTTTTGTGGTGGGAGTCTACAGAAAGGCCTATCGATGTGAGTGGAGGCCCAGTTACCTGGTTGCAGTTTAAGGAGGCCTTCTTCCAACAATATTACCCAGCGATCACGTGGTATAGGAAGCAAGTTGAATTTCTGAACCTGAAGCAAGACAATAGATCAGTGGAGGAATATGACAGAGAATTCACAAAATTGTCCCGTTTTGCCCCTGAGTTAGTAGACACAGAGGCTACGAAGTGTGAACGATTTATAATAGATTTGAAGGATGAGAATAAAGGCTTTGTAGCAACCCTCTCTCCACCAGACTATGCTACAGCACTTCGTACGGCTGCATTGATTGACAATCGTTCAGCAAGTGGGTCCCAAGTGCCTCTAGGACCAGGATCGTCCTTATGACAAAAGAGAAAATTTGATCATTCATCTTCAAACTCATACCGATTTCAACATACATCTGGCAAGACGAACCAAGCTCATGTTTAAAGACAACAACCTAATCGACAACAAGGCCCTAGTTACGAAAAACCAATATGTAGTATTTGTGGGAAGTGTCATTGGGGGTGATGTTTGTCGGGAACTAGAGTATGTTTTAAATGTGGCCAAGAATGGCATGTGGCATTAAACTGCCATTAGAGAAATACTGCAGGTGGTGTAAGCCAACCCTTGAATTCCAACCAGGCAACTATAGGAAATTCAACTCAACAGCAGGGTAAGGTGTTCGCCACTACACGTCAGGAAGCTGAGAACTCAAATGCTGTAGTGATAGGTACGCTACCTATTCTTGGTCATTGAGCATTGAAAGTGAAGAAGTTGATCAAACTCAGGGAGTATTTTCCAAGATCGACTTGCGATCAGGATATCATCTGATGGGTTGGGTAAATTTAATTCATTTAAATCATAATAAATGGGGAGGAAACGACAATGCAGGGATTCGAACATAGGACATCCACCTCTGATACCATCTTAAGAATGAACAAACCACCACTCAACCCAAAAGCTTAAGCTGATGGGTTGGGAAAATTTAATTCATTTATATGGATTCTAACAAGAATAAAGGAGGAAGATATTCCTAAAACGACTTTTAGGTCTAGGTATGGGCATTATGAGTTCATTGTAATGTCTTTTGAATTGACAAATGCACCAGCAGTTTTCATGGATTTAATGAACAAAGTTTTTAAGGAGTTCCTGGATACCTTCGTGATTGTTTTCATTGATGATATTTGTCGCAACGTCATCGCGACGCGGAGCGGCCGACGTCATCCCCTGAAGGGTCTCTTTCGAGATAAGGGTTTGGAGTCACCACCAATCATCTATGAGCTGTGATTGATCACCTATTTTAAAATTTTGGTCTGCGAAAACATATTTTTGGTTCGGGAGTCGACTGAGCATAGGGAAGGTGTTAGCACCCTACGACACCCGTTTGAAAACGGTACCAAATTTTATCATAAATTATCCTATTATTTTATTTGGTCCAAGGAAAAAATATTTTGGTATTTTGATTGAAATGTCCCATGTTATATTAATTCACACTTGTTATAAGATTTGAATTAATAGGTATGAGTGGCACGAAAGCCATTATAAAAATTTTATTGGAAGGTCCAATTTCCATCATTGGAGTTTTTGAAATAATTATTTAGTAAGAAAACAATGATAAATAAAAAAAGAAATAAAACGAAATCATGGCACACATAAAGACTTGATCTTTAAATGTGATTGTTAATACCCCAAGCTCTTGCCACTGTGCCAAGACCTTAGTACACAATTTAAAGTCCTTTTTATAATATAAACTTTTTATCTTTTTATTTTGTTTAAAAAAAATAAACGACAAAAAGATTTTATTTAAAAAGAAAAAAAACTTTTATTTAAAATGATTATTTAGTAAAAACAATGATAAAAATGAGGCACTCAAAGAATTGAACTTGTGTCATGTTGTCAGTACCCTAGTGCATTGCCACTGTGATGTTGCCTTAGGATACACATTATACTCTTTTTTAAAATACAAACCTTTGTATTTTTTAATTTTATTTAAAAAAAACTATAAACGAAAATTTAAATAAAAAAACTCTTTATTTTGTATTGGATTTAAAATTCATATAAAACCGTTTTATACAAAAAAAATAAAAATAAAACAAAAATAAATAATCTTATTTAAGATATCTTATTCAAAATTTTCAAATGTTAAATAACAAATCTTCCAAAAACAAACTTTAGATACCTATGATTTTAGATTTATTAACTTTAAAACAAAATTTATTTCAAAAAAAGAATAAATTTTCTTTTATTCAAAAAATAGAGGGAGAAATCGATTTTAAAAAAATAATAAAAAAAAAGGTCAATGCAAGACGAAATGGAAAGAGACAAAGAGGACGTGAATTGAGACTGCCATTAGACCATCACAGAGAATCTCTATTTCTCTGTTAAAGGGGGTGAAAACTCAATAATTCGTCCAACTATAAAACTTGTCTATTCTATTGCAAAATCAGGGATTCATACCTTCCCCTATCCCCCGTTTATCATCCACTTCGGACAAGAGAAAAGAAAGGAAAAAAAAAACTTTCATAGTTGACTGATGTAATCGAAATAGGGTGGGATGATTGAACTTAGCATGTATGAATTGGAATTTGAGGAGATTTCCACAATGAGAGTGAAGTAAAGTTAGATTTGACGCCCAGGCAAATTCTCGAAGTTGTGTGATGCGCAAGGAAATTTGAATTTTCAAAGCGAATTTCTATGAGATTGTGCTGCCCCGCTCTTGTGTGTCAGGTCCCCCTCATGCATGCTCTCTCCTCCTGTTAAATACACAAAATTTAACGGTAATATGGAAAATTTAAACAAGATGAGGAGAAAATCAGGGAAAGGAAGCCACGTTGGCGGGTGGTTTTGACTAGGAAAAAAAAAGATTTTTTCATTTAAAAAAATAAAATCTTTTAATAAAATCAAATTTTATTTAAACAAATCTAAACAAAATCAATTATTAATTTCTTATTTATAAAATCGAAATCTTTAAACAAATTTAATTTAATGTAATTTAAACTTTATCTTAAAATTAATAATAAAGTTAACCTATGTTATTCTTTAATTAAAATAAAACTCAATAAATTAGAATACAATAATATAAATTAAAATTAAAATTAAAAATAATCCGGACCAAATACGGTGTCTACAGCTTGCCCTTCTTTGTGTATCCTTCTAGAACTAAAAGGGTAGACAAAGGCAAAAAGACAGTATTTGGCCAGCGAAAATTCTATTAAAGCAAACCAAGATAGAGATTGACCCCACTTGACACTAGGTGGGATCCCGACATGCAAAGAACCTCGTACTTGATACAGGTCTTAACCTCGATCTTGGATCGGGTTTGATTTAATTGACATGATAAGTGCGATGAACCTGGCTTGACACAGGCTTCGACCTCAATCTTGGATCGGGTTCGATTTAACCAAATGATAAAATGCAACGAACCTGGCTTTAACACAGGTTTCGACCTCGACTTGGATCGGGTTCGATTTAACCGAAAGAGAAAATACAACGGACCTGGCTTTAACAACAGGCTTCGACCTCGATTTGAATCGGGTTCGATTTAACCGAATGATAAAAAGCAACGGACCTGGCTTTAACAACAGACTTCGACCTCGACTTGGAACGGGTTCCATTTAACCAGATAATAATGCAACGGACCTGGCAGTTCTATTTACCCTCTTCTATTTCAAGCGTGAGGGGCGTGTAAACTCACTTAAGAATTTTAAAAGAATGGAATAGATGAAGAACAGAAGTATGAACTTGAATTGAAGGAAATGCGATAAGTAAAAGAGTGAAAATACAAGAAAAGAACAACTAAAGTACAACTTTAAAGTTTATGAACGAAAAATACAGCTAAGAATTAAAGAAATGAAGATGAAAATGGGATGGAAATGGATGATTTGCTGCTGGAGGATAAACTCCATTTTATAGGTCCTCAACTTGTTGAAGTTCCCACCATTCTAGGAGGAAATGACCCACTTACCCTTCATTAAGTGAAACACATGTTTTGGAAGTTGACCATGCCAAAATTGCGCCAGGTGTTTGTTCGTGCAAAACAAATTCTGTGATTTTCTTCGAACTTTGACCACGTTTTTCTCACATTTTTTCTAAAGTATCATATATTGCCAATTATCGAGAAATGTTCTATGCATGTTCTACATTAAGAACATGTAAACCTTTCTAGCTAATAATGATAGGAAAAAGATCATTTTTATGGTCAAACAGGCCTACCGACACACATTTCTATAGCAAAAAGTCGACCCTAACACAACTCAAAACTTAGCCATTTACTTGTCCTGAAGCAAAAACAACAACAACAAATCCAAGATTCTAAGTAAATGAATTATATTGGTCTTAGGAAGGATGCCACAAGCTAAACCTCCTAACTTTAATCTCAAGCCAATATTCCATAAACAATTATTTGTTTTGAAAATAAAAATGATTCTAATCCTCTTCTTTTCTAAAACACAAAACTTTTTGCAAGACCAAGGAATATGCACACTTCCGTTCTGATTAAAAAGTTTTACATAAAAAAGACACGTGGATCGGCTACTAGCCCTTGAGGTTTTCCACACACTAACATTGGTTTCTAACTACAGCAACTCATAGAAACTTTTTAGGTAGCAACCTAGCATAAAATGATGTTGACAATAGATTTCATGAAGTCACCTAAATATGTAGGCTACTACCGTCCAAGATGCTAACGCGACCCATTTAAAGATAAATGAATGTCTACAGTGGGACTCCTGAAAAAATAAGTGCATTTTCTTGCCACTCATGTTTCTTACCACTCTTGTCTTTCTCTCACTTTTATTTTTTTTTTTCTTTCCACCACTCTTATTTTCTCTCAAGACTATTTTTCGACTTTTTTTTTCTTTTTTTGGACTTTTTTTCATTTTTTCTCGCATATGACTCTTTTTTACATAAGACTTTTTTTTATTGCTTGCATTTTCTTTCTGACTCTTTTTCGAAATGTAAAAAGAATTTTGTTTCTTAAAACAAAAAGACACACGCTGTCCCCCCAAATTTAAGGGAAACAGTGTCCTCACTAGCTAGGAAAAAAAGTTTTGAGAGTTGCAAAATTTTGACACAAAAATGACAAGGACTTCCAAAGCAATGAAAAAGTTGAAGTTTTAAAACAAAAAGGAGTAGAACACAAGTTTATAATCAAAACAAAAAGTGAAACATGCTTTATGGCTTGATCATAAAACTAGGAAATCTAACCTATTCATGCCCTTAAATATCCTCATTGACATGATACAAAAACAAAGAACAAAGGAAAGTTTTTCATTAAAAAGATGAACATGCTGAGAGTTTAGGACAAACTTGTAGCCAGGACAAGGAAGCATCCAAAGTTTGAACTTAATACGATATGTAGAAAC